CCTCAGCTGAGCTCAGGAGTTTCCTATACAGTGTTGGAGTAGGAATATATGTTCGCTTTCCTCAGCTGAGCTCAAGAGTGTCCTATACAGTGTTGGAGTAGGAACATATGTATTTGCTTTCCTCAGCTGAGCTCAGGAGTTTCCTATACAGTGTTGGAGTAGGAATATATGTAATCGCTTTCCTCAGCTACTGAGCTCAGGAGTTTACAAAGCTAACTATAGGAGTTTATATACGAATTCGGGTGAAAATGTACAAAAACTAATGATAATTTCCTCAAAAATGTTCACCAATACATGTAGTTGACCATGTGCACATTTTCCAACTTCCACTTAAATAACCCCAATTTTCAGAGCTGCAAAAAGAGCTCGCTTTCTTAGCTGATACCACGGTTTGTGAAAAAATACGACAAAAGTACAAACGTTAACGAGAATTTTCCCAAAAAAATTCCTCGCAGTTTTCATATTGTGTTTTATTGTATATAATAATGAAATTTCACCCGTTTTTCGCGAAAAGTGAAATATGTTTTTCACTAGTGTTTTTCACATCACTAGGTTGAAACTTCAATGTTTGTTATATTAAATAATCAGAATAATAATTAATATTAATCTTATTAATATGTGCATCATCGGAGTTTCACGACCCGTTTTACGTGAAGTGGCGTAAAACTCGGCGAATAATCAGTTCCTGTAGGAGTCGTAAAATATGTTTTTCATATCACTAGGGTGGTGAAACTCCATTGTTGTTTTTATATATGTTTCTCACTTTTAGTGCGCTCGAACGTCCATGGACGAATTCCTCGCGAATTGCAGCGTCACTCAGATACCTGCAAGTAAAACATTTATGATCCTTTCCCCAACTGAGGAAGTTTTTTATAAGAAATATATTTTCGCTTTCCTCACCTAAGCTCAAAATTCTAATACAAGCCTACAAAAACAAAAAAAAAATCCTCAGAATTTTCATATTATCACCAAAGCGTTGTAGGAATAAATTCTCACTCTCCTCAGCCGAGCTCACAAATTTCCAAATCTACAAATTTCACGAATTCGGGTTACAAAAAATTTCCCCAAATTTTCTCACAATTTTCCTCCCCTTACTTGATTCGCGTTTGCAAGGAATCTTTTCGTTGTTTGAATACCTCCGTTATCATCACTGGTATACGCATCCTCATGTCCTTAAATCGTGTCACCCTGATAAAATCCAATTTGTGACAACGAGTTGGTAAGCAACATAAACATGTAAAAAAAGTTGGAGTTTAACAACCCGTTTTATGTGAAGTGGTGAAAAAACGCGATATTATTCGCGGTGATATGCAGTAGTCGTGAAATATATTTTTCATATCACTACGGTGAAACTCCAATAATAAATGATCAACAAATAAGAACAACTAATATCACCACTAAAAATCGTAT